CAGAAGCAGTTTGGGGCATTGCAGACAGGGACAGTGACAAGAGCAGTAACTGAGAAATAGATCCCAGTTTGTAGACTAGCAGCACAGGCCTTACAGGAGCCTGGTGGAAATGGAGACTCTTGGTCTTGGCCTGTGAATCAGATTCTGCATTTTACCAAGAACCCTAGATGATTTTCACTTACATTAAAGTTTTTAAAGCACTCGTAGAAAAAGTCAGCAAACTTTTTTTCTGTAAAGGGTCAGATAATAAATATTTTTGGCTTTACAGGCCAACCACTCAGCTCTGCTACTTAGCATGAAAGCAACCGTAGATGACAATATGTAAATGAACAAGCATGGTTGCGTTCCAGTAAAACTTTATTACTGTGATGGCTAGTTTTATATGCCAATTTGACCAGGACAGGGGGTGCCTAGATATTTGGCTGAACATTGTTCTGGGTATGTCTGACAATGTTTCCGGATAAGATAACATTTGAATCGGCAGACTGAGTGAAGCAAATTGCCCTCCTTAGTGTGGGTGGGCCTTATGAAATCTGTTGGAAGCCTGAGTGGAACAAAAGGAGGGTTAAAGGTGAATTTGCTCTCTCTGCCTGACTTTTTTTTTTAACTGTGGCATTGATGTTCTCCTGCACTTGGGCTGGAACTTACACCATTGGTTCTCCTGGGTCTCCAGTTTATATACAGCTCATCATGGACCTTCACAGCCCCCATAATTGCATAAGCCAATCTCTTATAATAAATTGTAAGATAATATATACATAAATATAAATATAAATAAATATATATATTTATAGGATATGTATCCATCTATCCTCTTCCTCTTGGTTCTGTTTCTCTAGAGAACCCTAATACAGTTATGCAGTTATGGACACTAGAATTTGAATTTCATAAAATTTTCATGTGTCATGAAGTACTATTCTTCTTTTGATTTTTTTTAACCATTTAAAAATTTAAAAACTGTTCTTAGTTTTCAGGTCATACAAAAATAGACATTGGCTAGATTTTTGTCTGTGAGCTCTAGTTTGCCAACTCCTGTCTTAGAACACTGAACAGCCAATAGAGATCCTGAAAACATGTGAGCCCTTCAGTTATTTTTATCATCTAAATTCTAAATTCTACAGCAATAGGAGAATAATAACTAAAGAGGTTGGTAATTTTTATTACTCTATAACCAAAGGATATCTTAATCCAATTGTGAGAGAATGAATTTTTTCATCACCTTTTTTAGCCAGTGGGAATGTGGTTATTAATAATTTTTTTAAATGGGTATTAAATTTCACTGTGGTCATGTTGCATGTGTATAAACATAAGGCCAACAAATGAATAAGCATCTCCCATTATTTTCTCTCATAAAGGTAACCTGGAATAAAAGTATGGTTTCCTTCACTTAACCCAGCTGGAAAGGTGGAGACTCTCCTATTACAAGGCACACTGTCATCCTCCTCGTTATTTGGGCTTTAAAAATCAACTGCATTGATGCAACTGGAATAGTAGTTCTCAAAGTGTATTTCAAATTCCCAGCATCACCTGGAAGCTTGTTAGAAATGGTCATTCTTGGGCCTACCCAAGGCTGGGGAGTGGGGCCCAACAATCTGTGTTTTAACAAGCTCTCTAACAGTTGAACATTAAAGTTTGAAAACCACCGCACTCGAGAGAATTCAACTTAAGAGTCCAGATTCCTGGGGCTCCACTCTAGATGTATTGAATGGAAACCTCTGGTTTGCATTTAACAAGCTCCCAGATGACCGTTAGATTCATCTGTATTTCAAAGTCATGACTTCCGAGTTGGCTGCTTTTCTTTCATCCCACCACCCCATCCAACCTGTAGGGCTTTGCCAAGTTCTATACATTTTACATTTGCAAAAAACTTCCAAACCTAATGCTAATCATCAGAAAAACCTGATTAAAAAAAAAACAAAACAAAAAACACAGTGTGTTATTAAGCCTCTTTACACTTTAATTTTAAATAGTCCTAAAAGGAAAGAAAAAAGTGTTTCAATTTGGGAGGGGGGTTACATTTAGATCAAGCATATTTTTTAGATGCTCTTTCTTCTTTTTCTTTCCCTTTACTATTACTCAGTTTTTGGAGAAACTAGGAATTTGCTACATGCAGTTCCTTTTCTTTTAGCCATAATGTGAAAACTGGGGAGGGGGGGAGAGGGGGTGTCTAACTGCATATATCAAAAAGATTTCCAAAGAGCTTATTTTTGAATATAATTGCCAAGCTATATTTAGAATGTCACATACCCATGTCAGTAGCTGAAGTGGTACAATTGCATGTCAGATTTTAAAGGAAGGAGGATATTGTGTGTTTTTGTGAGCATTTTGTGAGATGTGCTTTATTTTCCCTCCTTTTTTTTTTTTTTTTTTTTTGCCTCTATGGCCCTGAAATCAGAAACTGTGGATATGAGTATACTGATGTGTTTGGGAAATAACTATAAATTAATCAGGCCACTCAGTAAAATGTTTTATTGGACTACAAAATTATTCGAAGTTCCACATATATTTATTGGTCATTCCCTCACCCTTCTAATTTCCCTTTTCTCCTTTTATTTATAAGATCAATCAGTCTGATGTTTTTTATTTTTCCCAAAACATTATGATCACTAGGGCGAAACCTGAAGAAGAGGGAAAATTACCTTATAGAGAGAAGAGAGAAATTCCTAATACTGTCATGAGAAACTTTGGCATCACACATGGGTAAGTATAGAGACTTTCCCCCATGACTAGCAGATGACCCCTGTTCTGCATCGCCTCATCTCAGATTCATAGTCCTTGGTTTTGAGGTAATGCATACAGTCAAAATATTTAGAGTTTGTCTACAAATACATACTGGGACACAATTTAATAACTGCAGCACAATAAAAGAGATTGTGTTTACTTAAAAACTCACTGTAATCTTTCCTGTTAACATTCACTTTCTGGGTAGTGTCTAATGAAATAATCTTTGTTTTCAAGTTTTGAATCTTTCTATTTTCTAGAGAGTATAGATTCTGTCAGTTTGTTTAGTTTATTTGAAACATCTCCATCTGGTATCAGGGAAATCGTAATTTAACTGGGGTGGGAAGTGGAGGGGAATTGACCATGCATTGATAATTTTGAAATTCATTTCTCTCTATTCTCTGAACTTTTACATAAATAAAATAACAAGCATGGAGAGAAACACTTGCTACTTTTTCGTTGGAATTGGAAATGGAACTAGGTAAAGGCACCCAGTTCTAAGTCCACAGTCTGCCTTCCACTGTAGAAATAGCACAAGGAATAAACTTGTGCTCAATAAGCTCAACAGGGGAATGTCACTCAGACACAGTGACTAATGTAGCATCCAGCCTGCTCACCTTAAGAAGAAGAAATCATATGTGAGCCTTAATGTTAGGGCATCAGTAACAACTTTATTCTGTAGCTGATTAATTTAGATACAATTCTTTATACATCCCCAAAATATGGTCAGTGTTAATTTTTGTAGGCTAAGATTTGTTATAGGTTTAAACAAATAGTTACATCATCAACACTAGCTTTTTAATATTTGTCTTCCTAAATGAACTCTGACACTGAGCAATTTTACTATCACCCCTGTGGAAATCCTATTCTTCCATCTCTCCCAAATGCCTATCTTTGGGTTCCCCTTCACATAAAACTAAAGGAGTTGCCAAATGCCTTTCAGAAAAACAAAATAAAAAGAATTGACACAGTATACATAATTGTCATGGGTCAAGTCTAATGTACATACTAATTTATCTAAATCACCTCATTTCCTGCCTATCTTTTGAAAACTTTGTTTTTCCTTTAAAATTATTCTTCCCCATTACACAATATTTTAGGGTGCTTACAATCCACGGGACTCATAACTTGCTATGTCCTTCCTTAACATCATCACATTTTCTCCTTTCTCTTTTTTTAGCCAATGTACTAGTCCAGATTACTAACATATGTTCAAGGAGTGTCTGGATTTCCAAAGTTATAAACTACAAACATACAAGTATGAGGAATTCAAATAACTGGCAAACTCTACCCTCAACTATATCTACCAAAATGAAAAAAAAAAAAAAAACTCTCCCTTAAGCCTCTAAAAACATTTTCATAGAACACAGAGATACCCTGCCACCTCTTTTTACCTATGTAAATTTTACCTGTGTAAAAACCTAAACTCTCTTCTGCTCATCTTTATCTGCTTTTTGTTTCCAGAAAAACAATTTGCTGTAGGTCAGTCCATCTTTCTAACCTGATGTATGATGCACAGAATAAGGTATGCCTAAATGGGACAAATAACAAAACCAGTAAAGGTTTTTGGAATCAATGTAAATTTTGTATCGCAAACGCAATTTGGAAAATACTAGTAATAAAAATTATAAATCTCTTCAGTATTAACAATAACTTATTGCAAGTCTCCCTTGGGGCAATAATGAAAATGGGAAATCAAGAAAATCCTAAAGGTACCATACATAGTGCTTCAGATATGGAAATGGGTAAGATTGGCTAGTAATCCACAGAAGGGGAGGGAAAAGATCACGGGAAAAGGATAGGGTCACAGTAGTGGAAGAACAGTAAAGAACAATACATATGCACTGCTTCTGGCTTTTCGACCAAGTTCCATGTTCTCTGAGGCCCTTGTTTTCAATGTTCCTTCCTTAAAAGTTCCCAGGAATGCTTCTGCCTTAGGGCCTTGACTGTTCTATCTGCCCCCAAATCACGCCCCACATGACTGATAGGCCTACTCCCTCAACTCTTTCAAGCCTTTGCTCAAATGTCACCTTTTCAGTGAGGCGTATTCTGAACAGTCTACTTAAAAGTTGACAACTTCCCAGGTCCTTTGCCCACTTCAGGTTACTCCATGTAAATTGCCCGTGTCCGCTTCCACGAACCTCACCTTCCGTCCCTTTTGGACGACCGTGCCTGGCGCTTCTCCTTTAAATGTTGTCGGGAAGGGGCGGAGCCTACGCATACGCTCCTCCTTTCTGTGAAGCTAGGCCCTAGCTCCGCCCACTTGCGTGTCGGGCGCCGGCGGGACGGACCCACGGGATGTTCTCCTCTTAGTCCGCTCCGGAAACGCGACCGCGGATGGAAATATCACATGATCTTAACGTCAACGCGCCCGCGCCGGCCGAACGGACGCTCTCGGTTTCCGTGGGCTGGCGTTTGTGCTTTAGGTGCTTTTTTCCCTTCACGGTGTTGTGGCGTTTGGGGTCTTTTTCTCTAGACTCCCGGGGCCCGCTTTGGGATTTCGCCATGTACCACAACAGTAGCCAGAAGCGGCACTGGACTTTCGCCAGTGAGGAGCAGCTGGCACGACTGCGGGCCGACGCCAACCGCAAATTCAAATGCAAAGCGGTGGCCAACGGGAAGGTGAGCCTGGCGGCCGATTCCCTGTCCCGGCCTCCAAACTCTTGAGCAGCTGCTGCCCATCCCCCTTGTCTGTCCTGCCTTCCCTGGAGCTTCCGCACGCCTTCGTCTCCGCTGCCCGTGCCTCTGCGGAGCGCGGGGCGTTTTATTTAATAAACAGTCGAGTACTTTGCCAGGTGTAGTGGGTACGGAGACCGACAACGCCGTTAACGTAGTCGAGTGGCAGAGGAGTAATCAGTAACACGGCGAAGAAAAGACTTTGTGGGATGCTACCGTAGTGCGGGACCAGAGCTTTTTATTAGTCAAGAGGATATGGGATATGTCGGGGAAGGCTTTTCCCAGTAGTTGATTGAGAGAAGATGGGGAAAGGACGTTCCAGGCCGACAGAGCCACAGGTGCAAAGAGGTCACAAGTTTTAGGGTTGCAGAGCGGCTCCGTGGAATGCTCCGGATCGTGTGGCAGAAGCTCAATACAGGTGCTTGAAAGGCCGGAGAAGGTATAGGCCAGGAACTTGTAAGCGGAAGTAAGGAGTTGGAGCTTATAATGAGGAGATGGGGAACGTTTGAAAGATTTTAAATGGGAAATTAGCCTTTCAGCTTCTGTTTTAGAAAGAGACCTCGGAAGACCTGATGGTGAATGGATCGGAGGGGGCAGGGTGGAGGCAGGGAAACAGGAGACCATCAGTACAAACCAATTGGTTTGTTTAGACTTTGATCCTGCCAAGTTCTTTCTGTTATAGCTCCCACCGGGTTACTCTTCTTTCACAAGTTCCACCACCCATTCTAGTACAAGCTTTCCTCTAGCAAGTATTCCATGTTTCAGACCTATTGGTACTGAGCGACTTTACTTTTTACATTTAACTCAACGTCTGTTTCATACTGCCTCATTTTTGTGCCGCACAAAGTAGTACGGATTGTGCTGGGTACCAGGCATTATTCTGAGCATTTAGTAAGTGGTAGCCCATTTGATCCTCACAACTATGCCATGAGGTAGATGCTGTTATTATCCTTGCTTTACAGCTGAGGAAAATGATGAGTGGTTGAATAACTTTTCAGGACTGCAATGCTGGTAAGTGGCAGAGCCAGGATTTTGAACTCATTTGTGTTCTAAATCATAATGCCGTGCTGTCTCTATAAAATTAGTTTGTATTAGTATTAGTTTCCTTGGGCTAACATAAAAAAAATTAGCACAAGCTGGGTGGTTTAAAACAACAGAAATTTACTGTTTCACAGTTCTGGAGGCCGGAAGTCTGGGATAAAGTTGTTGTCAGAGTATGCTCTCTGCAGGTTTTAGGGGAGAATCTTTTCCTCTTTCAGCTTCTGGTAACCCTAGGTATTCCTTCGCTTCTGCCTCCATCTTTACATAGTGTTCTCTCTGTGTTTGTATCTTCCCATGTTCTTGTTATAAGGATACCAGTCATATTGGATTAGGAACCCACTGTACTCCAGTATGACCTAATCTTAACTAATTACATTTGTAGAGACTCTATTTCCAGATAAGGTCACATTCTGAGGTACTGGGGGTTAGGATTTCAGCATACCTTTTTTTGGTAGTCATAATTAATCCAATAACACTGCTTAGTAGGTATCTGTTGTAAAACTGTTGTATTATTAACCATCTAGTGTATTCTGTGGGGAGTTTATAAAGACAAATAGGAGGGAATATTTTAAGGGTCATAATCATCCTTAAGACACTTGTGATTTTTACCTCAACCTGTGTGACTTAATGACTGAGAAAGGGATGTTGAAAGCTTTCCAAACAATGACAGTGTGTATCTTCTTTTTGATTTATAATTGACATCAAATTTGTGAGCATATGCACACCCTCTGTCATGATTCTTTTTACCCTAATGAAGCACATGTCCAGCTGACATTCTGAGAAACTGTGAAATTATGGTATAGTTTTAGTTTATCAGATATTTCACTAAAACTATTTTGTGTAATAGCAGCTCTATAAAGAGAAAAATGACGTATGGTATATTTCCCTTTGGTTGGAGATACAAACTAAACTTAATCTGGACAGAGAAAAGTATTTTAAGATTATTCATTTCATTGAACTTTTGTTGTAACTTTTGATCTAAAGGTTCTTCCAAATGATCCAGTCTTTCTTGAGCCTCATGAAGAAATGATGCTTTGCAAATACTATGAGAAGAGGTTATTAGAATTCTGTTCGGTGTTTAAGCCAGCAATGCCAAGGTCTGTTGTGGTAAGTTATGATAGTGATAAAGTATAATGTCCTTTAGCTGACTTCTGAAATCACAACTCTTTTAAACGTGTAACTCAGTTCTCTATCCACTTTAGGGAAATTTATGTACTCAAGTTTTTGTCAAGTTTTATATTTTTTGATAAATTCCTTAACTTAGGAATTCCTGTATCATTTCTTACAAAGTGTTTTCATTCTCATTTCATTGTCAAAAGAATTTTGAGATCTGCTAGACAGGTCATGACATCCTCATTTTATAGAGAAAGAAAAGATTACTTTCTCTCTGGGTTCTCAACTAATGAGCAATAGAACTGGGCGGAGAACATATACTAGTGCCTTGTCAAGTCTGACAGACACGTTTGAAATAAGTCCTTCATTCATCAATTGTAATCAGACACCCCAGCTAAAACTCCTGCCATAGGAAGTTTTTAAACCTTGATTAGGAGAAGCTGGAGATTTATCTTTGAGTAAAAAATTGTCTTGTGGTTGTTTCAGATGTATGGTTCTGAGGGTGTGTTTTCTGTGGTGTGGCAATGGTGAGGACAAACCGGTAGTTTGAATTTTGTGGCTGTAAGGACTTACATGCACTGTCCTTGACATTGTTGCTTTAGTATGTATTCTTGTTTGTTGAACATAAACTGAAGTTGAAAAGCTGAAAGATAAAAGGATTATAAAACATTTTTTCATAATTATCTCACAGGTTTGCTGTGAAGATTAATTATGAGAGTCTGTCTTAAGTGAAAGTCTGTCTTAACTTTTAAAGTTATACAGAGTGAATAACTTATGACACAATAGAGAATAACTCCCTAGGAAATAATCTCCATTTTTAAAGCTGAAAAAAATTGAAGTATATTGAAAATACCAAGTTCAAAAATACTCAGAGTGGGTTTTTTTGTTTGTTTGTTTACCTGACCTTCATCTGAGAGATGAAAGATTTAGGAAGAATTTTAGATGGACTTAATTAGTTTCTGTCTCCAGATTTGGTTCTGTGTTTTTCTGATAAAAGAACTATAATACAGTTTTTTTTCAGATGAAGAAACTGAATTCTTGCATGAACTTCTTTGTGGAATTTGTCTTATTTATAACCAATGAAGTGTTTTTGTTTTGTTTCACATAAAATGACAAAGCTAAACTTTTTAAAAATACTTAAAAGGAAACATCTTTCTATCCTAAAATAGATAAACGTCTATTTCGTTGGTTCTAGCCTGATGATGTGGTGGTTAAAAGTACAGGCAGGTCTTAGTTGAATCCATCCCTGTTCCTTCTTATATGTGTGACCCCAAATAAGACAGTTAACCTCACTGATAGTTTCCTTCTCTGTAAAGTGGTGATAGCAGTACTTCACCAAGCTGTTGTAAGGATTAAAAAAAGATGATAGCTTGGTGCTTGGCAGAGTCTGGCTCATGGGATACAGTCAGATCTGCTGTTTAGTTTGGCAACATGATCATGGTTCTATCACACAGATCCAAAGTGGATTTAGAGAGAAGGCTTATTGCCCCAACTGTGTTAATTCTGTCAGTGTTTTCACAAGATTGACTGGTTCAGCTGTCAATATCTGTATGTTTCTCCTTGATTTTTTCTAATCTAGTTGGTGTTTGTTACTCTGAAGTCTAAAATAAACACACATAAACTTTTTAAAATTAAGTCAGTGACCATAGGAAGGGTAACGAGGGTGGGCGAGGAAGGACAACAAAGGGTCTTTTGGCTGTGACATTTCCATAGTAATTCATCACAATTTATTTGATTAAAGAAGAATTAAGAAGTTTTGGTATTTTGTATGGGTAACTTTTTTAAAAGAAACCTTTGCATAAGTAAGTTTAAAAAAAATATTTTTAGGGGTGCCTGGGTGGCTCAGTTGGTTAAGCGACTGCCTTTGGCTCGGGTCATGATCCCAGGGTCCTGGGATCGAGCCCCACATCGGGCTCCCTGCTCAGTGGGAAGCCTGCTTCTCCCTCTCCCACTACCCCTGCTTGTGTTCCCTCTCTCGCTGTCTCTCTCTCTCTCTCTCTGTCAATTAAATAAATAAAATCTAAAAAATATATATATATATTTTTAACAAAATTTAATGTGTGTGAATAGATTCTGATAATGTATTTTTAATCTTAGGGTACAGCTTGTATGTATTTCAAGCGTTTTTATCTTAATAACTCAGTAATGGAATATCACCCCCGGATAATAATGTGAGTATAATTCTAATATATTGATTTTCATTTAAGAAAACCTTTATTTGTGTGGATAAAAATGACCTCCTAATAAAGGGTAATGTAGAGTTGCATTCTGTTACGAACTTATACTGTCCTTATACTCCTTATAGATCTATTCCCTCCCTGTAATACTGATGGCATCTGAATTTCAACTTACCCATATTCAAATTCTGTTTTTCTTGAACTAACTTCCCTAATATGTCTTTCTGTTAGTGGCACATATCCTCTCTTTGTTGCTCCGAGAATCATTTGTGGTACCTCCTCTCCTTCTGTTCAGTCGGTTTACAAGTCTTGTAGCTCCAGATTCATTTCAAATGAACAGAGGTCCATTAAAAATAAAGATGAAGCTAGTATGAGACTCATTAAAGAGCCTGCTGTCAATCACATTGTCCCTGTTTATTTTCTCTCTTTTTCATTTTCTTTTCTACCAGTCTAGGTCAGGCCCTTGTTACTTCCAATCTTGATTTTTGTGGTAACTTTATTTCTAGATTCTCACTCTGAAATTTATAGTAGTAGGCATGAGAGTTTCATAGGTTACTGAGGTAATAATCTCTATTGAAAATGCCTCCAGAGACTTCACTGATGGCCTTCCACAGTGTTCTTTAACCTACCTTTCTTCCCATCCTTTCTTCCCAGGTATATCTGTGTATACTGTTGTGTTCTTCCATCTACATTTCATAATTCTCAAAGTACTCTTATTCTTCAGTTATTTTTCTAGATATTTATGTTGAACTGTATGAAACTACCATTAAGTCAATAATGGTTGAATGCTGTGGCAAGATTATACAGTTCAGGGGCACCTGAGTGGCTCAGTCATTAAGCGCCTGCCTTCGGCTCAGGTCATGATCCCAGGGTCCTGGGATCGAGCCCCGCATCGGGCTCCCTGCTCCGCGGGAGGCCTGCTTCTCCCTCTCCCACTCCCCCTGCTTGTGTTCCCTCTCTCGCTGTGTCTCTCTCTGTCAGATAAATAAATAAAATCTTTAAAAAAAAAAAATTATACAGTTCATCCTAATTATAGTTTTCTAATGGGTAAAAAGTTTGAAAAGAAAACTCTTTTTTTTAAATAAATTTCCTGCAAAGTCTAGCATAGTCACTTATAATATTAGGCATTTTTAGAACTTATTTTTAGCAATAAAATATTCAGTTATTTCTTAAAGTATGTACAGATCCCATTCCCGTCCCTTTATTTTTTTCCTCTAGGCTCACTTGCGCATTTTTGGCCTGCAAAGTAGATGAATTCAATGTATCTAGTCCACAGTTCGTTGGAAATCTGCGGGAGAGTCCTCTTGGACAAGAAAAGGCACTTGAACAGATTTTGGAATATGAACTACTTCTTATACAGCAACTTAATTTCCACCTTATTGTCCACAATCCCTATAGACCGTTTGAGGGCTTTCTCATTGATTTAAAGGTAATCTTTTTGATATAAAAAATAAACTAGTAGGATTTACACTTTTGCTATAGTTCTTTAACCAGAAAAAAATCAAAATTTTATTATAACTTGTAATCATTCTGTTACAACATAAGCTCATCTAAAACCTGAGTTTAGCTTGGACCTCTAGTAGTGCTATAGTTCTCAAACTGCAGTGCCACCTGGAAGGTTTGTTAGCTCAGATTGTGGGGCTGCAGTTCCAGAGCTTCTCATTTAGTAGATCTGCAAATACTTGTCCAAGAACTGTAATGAGGACCGTTGTCAGTTTAGAGTAATGCTTTTGAAAATTTAAGTTAACTCTTCTAACTCTGAAGTTAGTATACTGTCATGGATTTGATTTAAAGAACCACATAAATTCTTGTTTTTAACTAGAAGATTGCGAAGTGATTTCTATTTTTTAGTGCATTGTGAACTTGAATCAATATGAGGCATCAAAAATATAAGGAAATAAGCCTTGACAAAAGCAATTTAAGTTGTTTTGTTTGGGCCCTGAAAGGGGACTTGGATAGTGTGAGTGAAGTCAAAATGGAAGTCAAAAACTAGTTCATTCGTCTCGATTGAGTGGCAAAACTTGGGTACGTATCCTATACCAAAACATTGTGCTTGAGGATTAAGACAAGAACAGCCTCAACTCTCATAGGTCTTACAGTCTAATGGGAAAAGTAATCATATATCCAGTGTGGTAAGTGTTACAGAAGGAAAGATATTAGAATACTTTAGAACAGGGTGGCAGATTGAGAGGAAGTTAAGACAGTTGTGAGAAAGGGTCATTTAGAGTGAAATTCAGAGCAAGAGTAGGAATTAGGTAGTAGAAGAACATTCCAATCAGAGAGACTTCTTTGGTCAAAGGTCCAAATTCAAGAAACCATGGTGCACTAAAGAACCTAAATAGAGCTTAGAGATAGAGGGGGAGGACTGCCGCGGAGTGCTGCCAGAGTGGAAGGTGGAATCTAGACTGTGGAGGTGATATTAAGGATTTTGAATAGAGCAGTGGGAAACCAGCGGAAGGCTTAAGTCTGGGCAGTGGCATAGTTTGGTTTGCAGTTTAAAAAAAAATCCTGTTGGCAAGCTCTTGCATCAGTCTGCGTCGGCTGTTTATTGCACATACGTATGTGTCAGGCATAATATGGAGAATAGATTAAAATGGATGAAAGGATACCAGTAAGATGCTGTTAAGAGTAGTCCAGGCAAAAGATGGTGGTTGGTTTGACTTACAGTGGCTATGAGTACAGAGAGAGCTTCCTGGACTTATGAGATACTAGTCAGAATCACTAGAGCTTGAGGATTGATTTCATATAGAGATGCAGAACAGAGGAGGAACCCCCAGGTTTATGGCCTAAGCATATAGGTAATTGTGGTTCACTCCCTGATAGAGGAAACACAGGCATAGCACAGATTTGTTGATGGTGGAGGGGTGGGGTTTGTTGAATCTGGTTTGGGACATAATGAATTTCCAATTCCTGCAAGACATCAAGTGTGTGTGGAGGTGCGTGAAGATGGCGAAGCTGTAGGTATAGATTTGAGTATTGTTGCTCCTGGAAAATTTAAAGTGGATTGGCCAAAAGGACCATTTAAAAGGTAGTTAGAGAAGGGTGCCTGGGTGGCTCAGTCGGTTAAGTGTCCACCTCTTGGTTTCGGGTCAGGTCATGATCTCAGGGTCGTGAGATTGAGCTGCACGTTGCTCTGCGAGAATGGAGTCTGCTCGAGATTCTCTCCCTCTCCCTCCACCTCTGCCCCGCCCCTGCTCTCAGGCTCACTCACTCTGAAAAATAAATTATTTTCAATAAACAAATAAAGGGTAGTTAGAGAAATATAAGAAGCTATTAAGGAGACTGAAGAATATCCAGAGAGATAGGACTTTCTGGTGAAGTGAAGTAGAATACTTTTAGAAGATGAGCACAGGTCACTCTCTAATGCTGTTCAGAATTCAGGCAAAGTAAAAGCAAAAGGATAATGTTTGCAAGATTTAGTGCCAGAAGGGTCAGTTGTGATTTTTGTGAAATTAGTCTCTAGTGAGTGTGGAGGAAGAAAGCGGATTGGAGCCCGTTGGGGAATACAGGTGAGAAGGTGAGAAAACAAGTATTTATAACCTGGATTAAACAGCTTGATTTTGAAGTGGAAAAAGATGATTGAGAAGATGGGGGATCTCCTAGAAATAGATGAGAGAGATGGTTTTTGTGTTTTACTTTGTGGAAGAAACTGATGTGGAGCGCTAGTAATGAGAGAAAGCTTAAAGGAAGAAGTGAAAAATAAGTAGCACAAGTTTCTCTTTGGAGTAAGGTGGAAGGGACTGGCATGGGATTCAAAGCAAAGTAGAAGAATTGGCCTTGAGAGAATAAATAGCTCTTTGAACAGAGGGAAAGAGGAAAGCATGGGTTGAGGACAGTATTACGCCTAGGGATTGGTGCTGACAGGAAATGGAGTGTCTTTCTTTGTTAAAAGCAGGGATCATTTACAAAGAGCGATGGAGTTTCTGAAAATTATCAGAGACATTGAGACAGGTGGAAAATGTTGAACATGGTCACTAAAAAATGGGAGAACAAATTTTCTAAGGAATATTATCATAGCTAGGCATTGTTGAGAGCCCTCCTGAGGTCAGTGAACTTGAATTTATAGTAATAGTACCAGATCTCTTGGTGGTATTGTTTTCTGTTGCAGCACCCAGAAACGTGGATATAGTTACAAAGCAGAAGATTGCTTGATTTCAGCCATTGTTAAAGTTTTGTCTGAAATATGTTGTCAGCATATAGGGGCAGGGAATTCTGGAGGGAAATGAGGATCAGCGGACATTGGTGAGTAGGAGCAAGTAGAGGGATAAGGGGATAAGAGACCAAAGGTTCTGAGGAGGAAATCGGGGAGCAGCTGTGAAGTAATTGAGCAAATATACTGGGGGAAAGGAGTACCTTGGTCAGAGTGGAATGTCTCAATTTGTCATATCGGAGGTCAGGTATTTCGGGATAATAAGACATGGGTGTGACCGTACAATTGACTCAGAGTATTTTGTTTGGAGTATAGAAGAGATTTCTTAGTGCCTTGGGACATGAATGCGGATATCTGAAATAGATCTGAGGGTTTAGGATCTAGAGTTTAGTATAAGAAGAGTTTTCAAGGAATATGGGCTCATCCATATTTCTTGGGCATATTCTAAAAATAATTCTGTAGTCAAACCAAGATCCATTTCCATTTACTTCTTCCCAGAGTAAACTTTAAGTAGCAGGAATTTCAAATCTAGAGGAGGTGGTGCTTAACCAAGAGAGACACCCAGGCACCCCTGGGGTGTTATTTTTAAGAATCCTGTGTTAAGCATTTCCTTGTTAATATAGATATTTTTAAACTGTTATTACTGCATTAACTCTCAGAAGTGATAACATTTGCAAACTTTCTTTCTAGACTCGCTATCCCATGATGGAGAATCCAGAGATGTTGAGGAAAACAGCTGATGACTTTCTTAATAGAATTGCATTGACGGATGCTTACCTTTTATACACACCTTCCCAAATTGCCCTGACTGCCATTTTATCTAGTGCATCTCGAGCAGGAATTACTATGGAAAGGTATTAATCTGTGTTTTAACTTTGATCAGACTCAGTTTATCCCTTCCTGGAGACTGAGTTTTTTGTTTTTTGGGTTTTTTTTTTTATTATTACTATGTTAATCACCATACATTACATCATTAGTTTTTGATGTAGTGTTCCATGATTCATTGTTTGCATATAACACCCAGTTCTCCATGCACAACGTGCCCTCTTTAATACCCACCACAGTCTAACCCATCCACCCACCCCCCTCCCCTCTAGAACCCTGTTTGTTTTTCAGAGTCCATCATCTCTCATGGTTCATCTCCCCCTCTGATTTCCCCCCTTCATTCTTCCCCTCCTGCTATCTTTTTTTTTTTTAAACACATGATGTATTATTTGTCTCAGAGGTACAGATCTGTGATTCAACAGAGACTGAGTTTTTAAGTGAGATTCATTTGTGACTATAGTCCTTTACATGTACTGTGGTTGGAAGGGGTTGGTGAGGGCGACTGAGAGAAAAAATGAAATGACCTTTTATATATTTTTTTTAAGATTTTATTTATTTGAGAAAGAGCAAGAGTGCAGGAGTAGGGGGAAAGGGGGAGAGGGAGGGAGAAGCAGACTGCCCGCTGAGCAGGGAGCCCAATGCAGAGCTCGATCCCAGGACCCTGAGATCATGACCTGAGCCGAAGGCAGACGCTTAACTGACTGAGCCACCCAGGTGCCCCGTCAGCTTTTAAAGAAATCTTTTAAAATTGAGTGTCTTTGAGCTGAGAGGATCCATTTTATGACTAAAGTAGAAGTAAATCAGGTGATCCTCGGAAGACTGAAAGAGTTGTCTGTAGAGAGTGAATGTAGAAGTTTTGTGAACTGGTAAGCAACATGCGCACAGCAAATATGTCTGCCTGGTGTATCATTCTCCTGCTGTGGAGCAGGTGTGGCATGTGGAATTCAGTAAAGATCTACTGAATGAATAATGCTTTAGGGAGTGTCCAAATGAATTGCATTCAAGCTGTAGACACCTATAGCTGATGCATAAATGCACAGTGAGAAACCAGGCTTTGCGATAAGCCCTTTACCGGAATTAAGTTTACTTGATTCTTTGGTGCATTATCTTGTGCACAGATTAAACATTATTTTCATACTGATTTGTAACTCAAGCACAGGCTAGTAGCAAATTAGATTTTGTAAATTTTTATAATAATTTCTCTATGACCTTTGAAGTTCTGCCTGATCTTATTCCTAGAGAAAGATGATAAAATTTTCTGAACTTAAACTTCCTCCATGTTTGTAATCCCCTCATCCATAATTTCAAAATCCGTGATAATGGTGCTTAGCAAACATGAACAGATGTGATTTAGTCTTTATTCAGCTTAATCGGAGTGTTTATATGTTTCCTTACAGAAATATGAATGTAACTGGTCAAAGGCTACTTCCCCAGACATCACTGGACTGTTGCACATTTCATGGTACTTTCCCTAGGTTCCTTTTCCAAAACATGAGCAATTTATGAATTTCAAAACAAATGCAAGATTAGGGATTGTGGGCTTATGTTTAACTTATGGTAGGCCTCTTCTCCACAGACACAGCTCACCAAATGTACATAAATATATACATTTAATCCCAAAGTGATCTATACCTCCATTTATTTCACTAAGCAGAACTTATCAAGTGCCTTCTCTGTGCCATGCACTGTACTGTCAGAATGAACAAAGCTCTCAATCCTTGTTCCAGTTAGGAAAGATAGCCAGCAGATTGTTGAGATCTATGGAGTTTAGGGGTGCAGGTTCCATTCTCTAAGAGAAGAAAGCCTCTTTTCCACAATTCAGATAGCCAAATGTTTGATTGATCTGTTGAAGCATCAGATCTGATGCAGCGTATATGCAAATTCCCCAGTGGTGAGATTCTTCTTATGTAAATGGAGAGGGATGAAGTTTATGTCACTTGGAAGTGTAGTTATAATTTCAGATAGCCAAAACTGAAATTGTGGTAACTTGGGCTCATGGCAAATTAAATACACTTTTGAATTTCCCGGGGACTATAAAGAGTTGGGCGCTTTTTTTTCCTTTGAGGAAGTATTTGTAAATCATTCTTAACCTCTGATATACTTTGCAAACTTTGCGGACACATTGGAATTACCTTTACAGTCATTGCTGGTTTCAGAAAGGGAAAGCCCTTGTGCTGTTATATTCTGGATGATCGTTTAGGTTAATACTCATAGGATGTTCTTTTGTTAGTTCTGAGTTGTCTTCTTTTTTACTGGATTTCGAGATTTATTTTTCATCTCCTAGTTTGACTTCTTAAATATTCCTCCTTGCTTATGCATTTTTTTTTAATCAAAATATTAAAATTCTAATTCAGGATGGAGATGGAGTTGCTAACTTAAAGGCTTGTAGAAGTAGAATCTGGTCAGCTAACTCTTAGAACCAAATGTATCACTCTTAATGTTAGGAAGTGGAAAAGAAAGAAAGAATAAAAAGAGACAAAAGAAGATGCCAAAAGTGTGAGGGGTTCTAGGGAGAAAAAGGAAAGGAAAAGACTAATAGTTATTTTGAATTACTCATAACCAGAAATGTATTAATTGTTAAGGGAGTTATTGATTTTTATATCTAAAATTAATTCCCATCATAGATGATGAAGTTGTAACATCAAACTTAGTTATCAAAACTTACGTATCATTTAAATAATCTGGAAAGTTTAAAAGATAGCAACAGAATTGCCTAAAAAATCGTCTATTGTTGTAACTGTACTTCACCATTTATTCATTTTGCCGTTTTTCAGAGAAATTAATAATTTTTTTGCACTTGTGTTTGAAAGATTACTTATGCCTTCACAGTCTGTTCACTTGGGCTTTTATCTATTATATATACACTTCAGAGGAGCCAAAATATTTAAGTATAGAAATTATTTTTATGCTGCTATCATTGGTTCTGAGAAAAACAGATAATTAGGCTTTATATCCATTTATGGAAAAGTAGTAACACTTTTAATTTGGACTCTATGTAAATACGATTTAATAGATTTGCAAAGCATGAGGATATTCTTAACTGGTTTGAATACCTATTAGTCCCAAGAGGAGCGCCTGTAGTTTAACTTGATATTAAGGGGAGAGAGAATCCTTACTAGTACCGTGTTCCAGCTCTGCTACTTCCTAGCTTTATATGACTTTGGGCAAGTTACAAGATCATGACTTGTCTGTGCCTGTGACTCAGATTGCTCAAATTGTTCAATTGCTCAAATTGCTCAGATTGTAAAACAAAGATTCATAGAGTTTATGTTAAACACTTAACAGTAATAATCAAAACTTTAAATGTTAATTCATAACCATTTTCCCTCTGGCAAATTAATTTGAACATTAAACATCTTTTAAACTAAGTTGTATTAAATCCTTAAGACTGTAATAGTTATATTTAGTTTTGTGGCGTTCAAAGTATTGTTATTTGATACTTTTAAAGTAAATTAATTTTAAAATTGCCCTTGATGAAATGAACGTGGGGGAAACTAATTTATGATGTCATATTTCTCAAAGATGCTATATGTGTTCAGTAGATTAAAACTTTTTTCCTTTCTTTACCAGTTATTTGTCAGAAAGTCTGATGCTGAAAGAGAACAGAACTTGCTTGTCACAGTTACTAGATATAATGAAAAGTAAGTAAAACAGGATACTTTATAAAATGTTCTTCTATTACAAAGCTACTTTCTAAATATCATCTTGAAATTTAACTTAAGATATATAGATTGTTGTTTAGATTTACTTTAATTGAATTAATGGATCATGGAGGCATGAAGGATACATTCGTTGGTGGAGGACAAGTAGAGCGCTCATGAAAGGAAGTAGTTTGTACACATAGAGAACTTACTAGGAAAGTGAAAATAGGAGATTCAGAAAGAGTTAAGATTTAAAACAGAGTCCTTTTGAAGCGTACACAGATATATGACAGGCACAGGAAAAGATCTAAAGGGAACCAAATTAAAGATAATACTTAAATGTGGAGGTTTTTTTGTAATCAGCTATAATTAGTTAATACACGTTATTTGCTAGTCATGTTGATATTACAAAAGCCGCGGTTCTCCAACGGGTGTGATTTTGCAATGTCTGGGACACTTTGGCTATTAGAACTTGGCGGGGGGGGGGGGGGTGGGCGGAGTGCTGGCTACTACCGGCATCTAGTAAGAATGCTCCTAAACATCTTATAATTCAGTGTAGCCCCTTGATAGGCTGAAAAATGGCTCCCCAAAGATACCCACGTCCCAATCCCTGGAAACTGAACGTTACCTTAGAAAGTCTTTGCAGATATGTTAAAGTTGAAGATCTTGAGATGGGGACTGTATCCTGGATATCCAGGTAGGGCATAAACGCATCACAGGAGTCTTTATTAAAGAAAGGCAGAGGGAGGTTTGACACAGAGAAGGCAATGTGAAGACAGAGCACAGGGGAAGATTTGAAAATGCAAACCTTGAAAATTGGAGTGATATGGCCACAAGCCAAGGGATGCTGGCAGCCACCAGAGGCTGGAACGGGGAAGGAATGGATTTTCCCCTAGAACTTCCAGAGGGAATGGGACTCTGCTGACATTTTGATATTGGCCCAGTGAAACGGATTTATTTCGGGGCTCCAGAACTGAGAGAAGAGAATCCATTTCTGTTGTTTCAAGCCTTACTGAATTTAGAGTAATTTTTCATAGCTGACTCAGAAAACAAATATAGCCCCTCACAACAAAGAATTTTTCAGCCAAAACTGTCAGCAGTGCCAGTGTTGAGAAACCCTGTCTTAATGGTTGAGTTCGAGATTACCCACCCCTCTCCTTTCTTCATTCTTGCCTGTGTGTCACTGAAGGCTCATGGCTACTAAGAATTCGGATTAAAAGTCAATTGTGTTTGTCCCCCAAACTTTTTGTGCTACTTGTCCTTGTTAACTAAATATGTAGTTGAAATACTGGGTAAACCAATAAAATAGATTAAAAATCATGATCTTGGATAAGGGTAGTAAATGAGGGTACTTTTTATGTTTTATGTTTCAGAAGGTAAGATGCTTCAGGGCATGTAAATATCATTTCTTGATTCTCTGCTTGTGAAATGATTTTGAGGGCTTCCTTCAGTTGCCAGTGATGGATTTGTGATTTAGGAATTATAAAAGTGTAGGTCTTCAGTTCAACCACTAGAGGGAGCACTTCCAAAGCTAACTGTGATTTGGCCAGAGACCGTAGTCAGGATCATGGAATTTAGTAGGTAAAAGGAGCCGTAAAGATAACCCACTGTGCTCATTGTACAGCTAGCAGTTTTTTGATTTCTTCTCAGTTCCTTTATTTTGTTCCACTTGTTGCAACATGAAGTAAGAAAAGCTCTTGACTAAACACTCAGAGCTTTAACATATTAAGGTACCTTATTCATCATTTTTTGAAACGAAGATATTAAGCCACAACTATTAATTCAGTTGAAAACACTGCTTTACAAGCCAGCAAGCCCCACCTATTTGGCACATGTGGCTGGCTAATAATAAGGCCTGGATCTCTCACCATTCCCCTAAAAATTCTTGAGATTTATATTCTTTGGTTTATTGTAGTTGAGTAACATAAACAGACCAGGGTAGAGGACATGTTTGCAATTGTAAAGTCACTGACACAGTAGTTTACTTTTAGCCTAAAGAGAATATTTTTGTTTTCTTGGTGATGCTTTATTGTGTAGGTTCTGCATTTTGTTGAAGCAAAGGATCATTGACACATTTTTACTAAGCATCTCTCTTTATTACATGTCGTGTAATAATGGTTTCCTTTGTAAATAAGAAGTACAGTCTTTGGGCCACCATCTGTAGTATAGAATGTTATAAATACAGTTGGCAGAGAACAAAGCATGTTCACTAAATCATGGATTTTTAAAGCCTTAAACCTGAAAAAGTGACCATGGTGGGATTTGGAAAAAATACTGACTAGATTATAGAACAGGCTTCTTTTTATGCTGTATATGATATGGGCTAAGCAACAGAGCTATAATTACTTGAGGTATGGTATTCATTGGGTTTTAATGCAGAACACTGCAAATCCTGGTAATAATCACATTTCAAGAGTTTTGTTTATTGTTCCCATAATAAGATGGGTATATACTCAGCTCCCTTATGGGAACAGGACTTTGTATTGTCTAGGATAACTAGGATAAATCTTTTTTATCTCCACATAGGTATGAGAAACTTGGTAAAAAAATATGAGCCACCCAGATCTGAAGAAGTTGCTGTTCTGAAACAGAAGTTGGAGAGATGTCACTCTGCTGAGCTTGCTCTTAACGTAATTACGTAAGTAGATGGGAGTGTTATTCAAGGATGGATATAATTGTTACTGAGGCTAGCTCGTCCTTAAATCACTTAATTGATAAATGTTTGCTTTTGTGGGGAAAAATGACTTATCCATTAAGCTGGATTGTTTTTAACTGAGTGGACGTTTCGAACAGGATTAAACATGAGGTAACAGTTTGGCTTACATATACAGTTCTCCTCGTATGACTGATGTGTTCTTTGGCTTGCGGGCCCTGTCCGATTACTCCTCATGGGACCTCTAGAGTCTTTTTAGGGAATCTCTGAACCTCTTCTTGCCCTTTTAATGTCTGGGTTCTTTACAGGTCTGTTATCTTGTCTGAGAGAACAAGTATACTGTTTCAGATTTACTTCTGTTCACTAGAGCAGGGAAAGTTGGCCTGTTTTCTTTCAGGGATAAACTTTAAATTGAAGACAGAACAAGTAGGAAAATGTGTTGTTAGATATTTTCTTGGCAGCTATAAGGAACACCTATAATGTCTCTTACTGCTTTGTAGGCTGAATGTGGAAATCACAGAATTCGGGTTCTTTATGCTTTGCAAATTGAAGGATCCACTCAAACCTTCTTATCTTTTAGGAGTTTAAACAAGTTGGGGGTCTGGGCAGGTAATAAGAATGGGAAAACTATTGTTTTCTTTTTTCTGTGGAATACATTCTGATTCAAAAGTTCTACCGTATTTGTTAATATTTAGTGGGAGTTAGCACTGCCATCTTACATTTAAGATGCATCTGAGATGTTTCTGATCTCTGTAATTGGTGAGTATACTGTACTGCATAATGTCTGAGAAACCAGAACAGTGTTGTTCCATGGCCTTCAGATCCAGGTACACATGGCTCAAAGTCCCAACTACACAGTCGCAGTAGGAGAATATACAAGGATTTATGAAACATGCAAAATGTGGGACTACTTTATTATATACTAGCTATCGTTGCAAAGCATGGCTTAGCATAGAACTTAAAATTGGTAGATCTCACTCGTGGGTTTCAGTGGTAACTCATAGAAATGAGAGTGATAGAAGTAAAGAAATGTCGACTTGAATAAATCAGAGTATTGCAGCACTGATTATATTCTCTTCACATTGATTTTGAAATGTGCTTAGACCAAAGGTTGGCAAACTCTGGCCCACAGGCCAAATGTGAACTACTTTATTTTTTTTTTGTATGTTTGTTTGTTTTAGAAAGACAGAACTTGTGCTGAAACAGAGACATACCAGTTAGTTTGCATGCTCTCTGTGGCTCTTTTCACGCTGCAGCGGGAGTTAGGTAGTTGTGACACAAATGGACTGTATGGCCTATGAGGTGTAAAATATTTACGATTTGACCATATAAAGAAATTTATCACACTCTGGATCAGACCATTGAACTGGTAATCTACCCTTCTAGCTAGGTAACTGAATGGACCATAATCCAAAATTCCTAATTGCCGGAGTACCTCTTATTCCATCTAAGTTTCTATGTGCTTTTTGTACTATGTCAAGGAAATACTGCATCTCTGTGAGTACTTGGGAGGGGCTTTTCAGACGGTCTAAAAAGGACTTTTTTTTTTTTTTTAATCCAGGATAAAATGCAATAAATAACAAATTACTAGAATGAAAGAGACAAAATATAAGCTGAAATTTTATTAGATTTCAGTAGTCAGAAAATCGATGGAATTGCTCTAAAATTTTCTAAACACAGTCTGTTTCTGTACTTTACCTTATTGCAAACTGAAAATGGTTCATGGCTGGTCCATGGACCACACGGACAGGCACTACTTTAGGACAAAATAATTTGTTTTCTCAGTCTTTAAAATTCCTTTATCTTTCTTTTTTGTTACACAAACAATTAACTATATTGTCATTACTAAAGTCAGTAAAGGTAAACCAAAGGTCTCTTTGACCAAAACCCAAATCCAGCTGTGACCTCAGAGGTAATACCTAGTTGGTTTACAGTTGCCAGTCTTTTCTCTGCGTGTTTGTATGTATGTATGAAGTAAGTTGTTTTTTCTCTTTATTAATGCTTTCATACTAATTGTACAACTTTTATGGTATCAGTCTGTAACTCCTGCCAGTCTGGGTGAGAAAACAGTTATCACATTATTATTGTATTTTAATTTGTATTTCCCCTGTTACTATGAGGCATTGATGTTTCCAGTTTAACAGGCATTTGTATTTCTTCTTCTGTATTGCCTGCTTACAACCTTTGTGCAGTTTTTGGTGTTACTGTCCTGATTTGTAGTTCTTTATTTATTTTATATACTTGTCTTTTCCTATATATCCTACAGCTATTTTCTTGTTTCTTTCACCTTTATGGTATCTTTCACCTTTATGGTATCCAGGAGATTTGTGTTCTGTTTTATGCTTCTACATTTGAATACCTTTTCTTACCCTTTAATCTTTATTTTGCTTTGTGTTCAGCAATTAAAACATTTAAAATTATTTGTGAATTGTGAGGTACACATCTCATAATACTTTTTTCAAATAAAATGTTACCTACCCATTTTTTAAAAATTCATAATTTTCCTGTTACACATTCATTGTAGATTAAATTCCTATATATACATCATTGTTTTTTGCCTATCTGCCCTGATCATTGATGCAATTAATTCTTGATAATAACACACTTTAAATTACTTTATCTTTTATATCATAGTGTTTTGATGATAACTGACAAGGGACAGGGCCCCATACTTCATTACTTTCAGATTCTTTTTGCTCTTTTTGCAGTCTTGCACATCAGTTATACTTGACAGGTTCCGTGAGAAATTTTATTAGGATTTTAGTTAGAATTGCATTGAACGTAAAGATTAATTTGAAAGAGAATGTCTTCCTCTCCATAATTCATCTCTTTCCATCTACTGCACCTTATTTTATAGTTTCTGTTGCCAGTTTTAGATTACTTATTGATGGCTGCTCCATTACAGGAAGAAGAGGAAAGGGTATGAAGATGATGATTATGTCTCAAAGAAACCCAAACATGAAGAGGTATGTTCTCCAAAGGTAAATTTTAATTTATTCTTCTTGTAGAATGGTCTGACTATACTGTTAAGATTTAATTTTTCCAGAATGCAAGCATTACAGAAGTGTGGGCTTTGAAGCCTTCATTTTTGTTTTTTGCATTTTTCTTTTATGTATATTGTCTTGTTATTATGTGTTGTCTTACCCTGTACTGAAGTGGTATGATAGTTAATTGATGAAGAATCCTCCCTACGGTTATAACATGCTAAATTTCTGCTCTGTTTTTGACTCTCCAAGGATTCCTCTTACCCTTTTCAAAAATATTGTACCTTACATGTCAGATATAAAGTAAGGTCACAATTGTAACCTTTACTCCTGTCAATTGGTGTAGTCTTGTGAGACCAAGCCATATTACTGTTAAGATTGAACTATTACAGATTTTCCTGGTTTATTACCTTCCTGTAATCAGAGTAAAAGGAGAAAATTTTCCGGAAAGGTGAGGTAAACAGTGCTGTTATGCTTCAGTATATTGTTATTCTTACTACGTTTTTTTTCCTTCTTAGGAAGAATGGACTGACGATGACCTGGTAGATTCTCTCTAACCATTTGAAATTGACTTTCCAATGCTAACTAATCAACAGAAGGGTGAAGCAGATCTGGCATTTAACTTTATTGAAAAATGAAATAACGTGAAAGCATCAAATATATTAAACTTTTCGATTTATTTAAATTTTCGGGGTTTTTTTTTTTCCCTTTCAGGATAGCTTTATGTGAAATAAAACATCTGAAAGGAGCCAGAATAGCACCTGGTTTAGTCTTGCCCCATCATGACTACTTTCAAATCAGTCTTTCTACAGTAGTAGAAATTTGTGTATATTTTAAACAAAAGCAGCAAACCTTTTTTTTTTTTTTAGGAAAAAAGGCCAGAAAACAATAAAACTGAGTAATCAGTTTTAAACATGCTAGTTTTTTGCCCTCTAGAAACCTTCGTAAATGCCTTCTCAGATGTCATCGTGATATACTTAGCTTTATTGTATGTAACTACTGAACTACCAAATGCACTTCAACTGTTAAGTGCTTCAAGTGAAACTGTGAAAGCTAGTTACCCAGGGTAATCATAATTAGTATTTGTCCTCAATTAGTTACGTGAACACATTACCAAATAAATTCTAAAGAAGAAATCAAATAAACACGCAGTCTTGAATAGTGCTCTAGATAAAAAGATTAAGTTACTGTAGGTCGGCAGATAGTCGCAAATTGTATATTCAGTTCAAAACACATTACTCAGGTGAATCCATATAAATCAGTGTTACAGTTAAGAACTTACCAAATATGTTCAAGAAATTTAATTCAAACTGAAGTGAGTTGATGTAAAATGTAACTGCGGACTATGGTACTAAAACACTTGGGTATGGATCTTGGCTGTCTATTTCACTTTGTGACTATGGTCAAGTTCTAAAGCTCTCTGCCAATTTCCCAAGGCGCAAATAAGGAAAATAATGCCTACTTTTCCCTGGATTAATGGGACTAGTGCTTGCATATACTAAGTGTTCAATTAAGTGTTGCATATTAATACCATTTGTTCAGATATTTAATTGTGATCTTATTCGGTTTCTAAGTTGGAACCAAATTATGAATGTCTAATTTATTCTAGAAAAATGGGTTGCAGGAATTCTGAGAAACTCTGTTTGATGGATACACAGCTGTTCTCAGTGTCAGTGCATCCCAGGCTGCACTTAGAATTAAAGTGGTACCTACATTCTAATGCTATCTCAGTATGAGGGCAGTATGTACTATATGTATATTCTAATAATTCTTTACGTTTCAGGTTTGAAGTTTTTGATTTAATTCCTTCTCATTGTGGAATGAGGAATGCAATTCATGAAGTATGATTTTACAAACGTGGACTGGAAGAAGCCAAAGTTGACAATCTTCCAGTGCAGTCCAAGTTAAGTAGCAATGCTGCTAGCCTCTAGACAGCATTGCAGAGTGTTCATCATTTATCTTGTTTCTCTTTTAAGTCCCTAAGATTTGGTATCAGAGCAAGGTCCACATTTATTTCTGAAAAGTCTCCTAACCAGCCCTATTAAAAAAAGTTTGAGGTTTTATTTCATGTTACTGCAAGGAGTACAAAGGCAAATGACACATTTCCTATTCCAGCTTAGGAGATAAAAATGGCATTAAAATATAAAAGGCAGAAGAGGAAATTTCAGCCTGGGGAATGGTGGATGATGATAGGTCAGTGTGGCTGAAGACTGAGGGGTGATTAGTGGGGGAGGATTAAGTTGCCTAGCACTAGAATGTTGAAATGTTTTTGGAGATGTCACTGGTCCATATCCCTTCCACTCTATCCTTTATCCTGTAACCCAAATGGGCTACTGCCATAGTAGTCCAGCTGTAAAGCAGAAGTGAGGGAAAAGTAATGGGAACTGACACCAAGGGAAGTAGCACAGGAGAGTAGATTGGGTAGTTTGGCTGTTGAACATCACTGTTCACCTGTCTCCACAGAAGTAACAGTCTCTAATAGCTTAAAACTTTGCTATGCATCACTCTTCTAAATCCTTGTTTTTTTTCCTGTATTAACTGAAGTGTTGCTCTTAGAATCTAGGCCTTTAGAAAAAAACTTTTTTTACTATAGAAAATGCTTTTCTGCCATGTATTTTTTTGTATGCCTTCTCTCTCTGGCACTAAATTTGAACTGCTGCCCCCACCCCCAAATAATGAAATTGAAGGCTTAGCTGTATTTAGACAGAAGTAAGTAATCAATTATTCAAGATATCCCTTGGCTTTATTTTAACTTAAACCTTTGTGAATACCTCACAAAAATACATATACAGAAGCAAATAAAACTATACAAACTAAATATGCAGCAGATAGAACAAGTAGTCAGAAGTTCAAAGATGGATAGCTGTGTAAAAAAAAAATCAATTTGGAAATGAGTACTTTCAACAAAAGCATTCCAGATATTTTTAGACACATAAAATAAATTGGTAATCTATAGAATGGGTAACATGCATTGATCAGTACAACGACCAATAATATTTATTGAATTCATACTATTTACTGTTGTAAACATTTAACGAAAGCATCATGAGATCTAAATACAGTCTTTGACAATTCCAACAAAATAAGTGGTATGTTTAAAAAATAAAGCTGATGAGCAATAGATCCATTCTATATATTTTCTTTCAACAGTTCCAGCAAGAGAAATAGCACAGTATTTTTAAAAAGTATACAGCAAAGATTGTTCCTATTATAGTGGCAGACTCTGGAAACTGTAAATACAAATAGTCATTGAACAGTCAAACGGTCATATTCCTAATCAGGAGGAAGTTACAGTCAGCAATCCAGTTATACTCAATTGTCAACAGAATCCTTTTTCTTGTCAGTTGATTCCATAGTTCTTTTTCCAAGACAGCAAAACTTTGGCAATTGGATGTATTGAAAATATACTTTGCAAGTTCAAGGTTTAGTCAGTCATAACATTTTGTTGTGTGAAACGTGATCTGTACACCAAGGCTCAGTCAGAAGTTGGTAAAGATTGATTCCATATGTGGAAAAAGTGCAAATTTCCTGCACAGATAGCTTACAAAGCTGCTGGCACATTTACTCACCAGCAGAATCTTGGATTTTGTTTGCATAGCTCACACATCACTGGAATGTGGAAAGGTGTGCTATTTTTTGGCAAGAGCAAAGGAGACATTATACTGATATGAATTACCGTGTTGGGCATGCTGAATCCAAGCAGGACACCTGGGCGAAGGCTGCTACCTGACATCGTTAGTTTTTGTATACTGGTTTTGTTTTTGTTGAAGCAGTTCTGTTATAGCCAGAAGCTTTTTCAGTACATGCTAAACAAGGAGAAAGTTATGAAAATAATTAATAAATGAATGAAAGTTTGGTCAGAAACTTCAGGAACCCTGGATTTTGTAAAAAGCCACATCAATTCAAAGGAATTCATAAAATACTACTAACCATTGTACTCAAAGCATAAAATTGTGAACGTTTCTATTCAGTCCTTGACTCAGCATTTTTGGTCAAGATACAGTTTTTGTACACTAAATAGTATTTCATTTATTTGCCATTTCCGTATCTACTTATAGCCCCGTAAGGTCACTGAAGAGCAATCAGCTTGCAGCCCAGTGAACACTATCAAGTATCATGGAAGAAATAGGACTACACTGGGCCTAAAATTAATTAGGCCAAATTCTCCAATAAGAATTTTATTTTTAATTTAAGGCAAATCATCATAAACTCAGTCCCAGTGTAGCTGGAAGGCATTACATATACTCTGCCTAAGCTGCTAAAGAAGTGATTAAAGTGATTGGAAGCTTAATGAGCCAGAAGGTTATCTAAACTTGAGGGTTTTAGAATCTCTGGTTGAAGAAAACTCAGAATCCATAAACACAATGCTTTAATTTTCATCTCTTCTACAAGGCCCTTGCCACATGGTTGGCCAGTACAGTGACCGTATTCAGGAGAAGCTTATCAGAAATGACAGTTTTCAAGGCCACACTCCAGAATCTCTGAATCTGGAGTTTGCAAGTCACTTGGCCATGTGCTGCGTACGTCAGATAAGCCACATCACTACTGACTTCATAATTCAGTTGCCATTTTCACACATCACTGAAGTGTGTAACACCACCGTTTTTTCAGTGTGCAGTGTCAAACATACATAATTTCAGTCTGGGTCCATTATTTCTCTGCCGAGATCTTTGGGGAGGAGGATTCAGATTCTTAAAAATATAACTGATAAAATAACAATGTTGACCATAATTCAGCTAGTTACCTCTCAGAGTCTCATGCTGACAGTCTGCTTAAGTGCTAATCAAACATCACTGTTAATGAAGGCTGGCAAAAACCTACCTGCTGCGCACCACGTTCATTGCTGAGCGTTCGCAGTTCATCTGAATGGGCCACACAAATCTCATGCAGTGCTGCTAAATCACGGGACAGGTCAGTTCTAGAATGCTCTGTAGTGTCCGGAAGTTCAGGTACATTCTTTAAGAGAATAAAACCACATTTAGAAATACAATCTTTATACTCACTTCTGAAAATATCCTAATTGCTTATAGCAAACAGAATTCTTACCATAATCTCTTAAATTTCTCTTAAGAGTCTAAGATGCTATGTATCATTCAGTGCTATTTATTTCTGGTAAAACAAAGGTTCTGTGACCTCTCAGTATTCACATCAAATCCAGGTTCCAATTTTCTAAGAAAGCATGGCAGAATACTGTACAGTATTACTACTACTCTAAATAAGTGGGCTTCCTAAATTCTTAAGAGTTTTGGGTTTTTTTGATCTGGCACATAGACCAAAAAAAGAAAAAACAAAACAGTGTAACTGCTAATCTGGATTAAATGCAAGCTAAACTTAAAATTCTTCCACTCTCTCAGATGCAGTTTCATTATTTAGCTGCTACAGTTTGTCCAAATTTATCAGTATACATAAAAGTTACACTATGGAAATGTGAGGAGAACCTGTCAGGCTTATAATTATCTGTGGACTATGTCCAAAACACTTGGTAATGTGTGGAAATGATCAGTGTTAATTATGGTATCTTCAGGTAAGGTTCATTAAATAAACTTTGTACTTTATTAGCAGTAAACACTAATATTAGTTTGAGCCTCAGAATAAAATTCAGCATGGACTCAGACTGCTGGTAGTGTTGAATAAATCTACTCTTCTCCCTAATGGTGAGAATTAATTTGCTGTACATTCCTAAAACCTGCAAAACACTCAGTTTTCTATGGTATGAACAAACACCTGAAACATAGTTCATTCTTGTTAATTAACTCAGTTATCTATTCATGCAGTGAATGAAGGATTATAGAGATAAAAGACTATATAGTATTTGCCTTCAGAGAACTTGTAATCTCTCTCTCTAGAAGACAGAGGTAAACTGATCATAGCAACACAGATATCAAAGATAGGTTTAGTGCTCATCAAAGCCCTTCTGAAGGAGATATTTGAAGCGAGTCTTGAAAGAAGGATTTGATTTATACAGGTGGTAAAGGAATACAAGAACATGAAGAGGCAGGAAGAGTAGTAGAATACTGGGAATTCTAAGCAGTTTTAAAGACTACATTGCGAAGCATAACTAGGAAAGTGATAAGAAAGCTGGACTGTAGATAGCCATGACTATGGAAAATAAATGGAGTCCTAACCATGAATCTGAAGAATCTAAAAACCTAGAAATAATAGCTTAAGTTAAAGCTCGGTAGCTTTAAATATTGGATGATTTTCACAGTTCTTTAAATAATACTATAGAAAAATTTTTTTCAATCGCTGACCCAACTGTGTTTTTTTGGTGGTAAATATTTTTATCTCCTAAACGTCCCTGAGTTCATATATAAGAAACATGGACATCTAGCATTTGCCCCTGTATTTCTCACTTTTATTCTAAGTATGGACCTATGTTGTAAATAACTTCCTTCACAATGGTTTTTATCCCTGAGGTAGCAAAGTAGGGGCCCTCAGGAAGTGCTGGTTAGTTTCACTGCACACTGGTGTGGTTGTGGTTTTAACTGGATCTGAATACATTAAGGCAGAACATGGGCACCTCAGTCTCCTACCCTAGCATTCCCTAATGCCATACACCTGGCTAAACTGGTAACCTTTTTGATAAACCTTTGTTTTTATATATGAACTGAATTAGTAATATATTTTAAATTAACCCATTATCTGTAAATCTACAGCAAGAAAATTCAACTTTACTAAGAAATATAGGATCTTAGGGAATTTTTTTTATTTATATATACAATTTCTATTAATTTTATAATCACAATTTATTTGTAAAGGCCCAAATAAGACCTCAGTAGTCCCACTCAATGAAGTACAATACTAAATCCGTGTATTTTATTCCTAGTAAAGCCCCAAGAACACGCTCTAGTCCATTTACTTATTTAACCTGGTCAGATCTGGGTCATCTACCTTGTTTCAAGTCCCATACACTAGCAGCTAAGTAAAAGCAGCAACAGCTGAAAGGATAATGAAAAACAAGACAGAAACTAAAAAATAACACAAGAAGTACAAAAGCCACAATAGTGAGTACTTGGTATAAACCATTTAGCGTAAGAATAAATGTTTATAATCAATTTGTTTAGGAAGGTAGACAAAAATAGGCATTTTTTTTTTTCTTAAGTTGAGCCCAGTGCGGGGCCTGAATTCACGAGCCTGAGATCAAGAGTCAAGGAGGCTTAACCAACTGAGCCACCCAGGTGCCCATTTTTTTTGTTTTGTTTTAAAGTTCTGGATAAAAATCTAAGTTGTTGCTTAAATGAGCTAACTCTCAGCTATATTAAATTTAGGTCTCAAAGTACTTGAAAAATTATATACATACCCCAAGTTCATCTAAAAACATGATCATACGGTGTTTGTTACTTTTGATAAATGGATTGACACCTTCCATATACGGCTCCTAAAAGTATAAAAACAAAACATTTACCATATGCATCAAAAACAAACACCAATAACCACCACATATGTAGCAAGGATTCTTATAAATCTAATTATGTCCATCAGTAGTAATGCATGTTCACAAGAATTAATTTAATCATATAATTTTCCTTCTAATAAAAGCAGACAGCTATACCGAAGAACTG